TGATGTTGAATGTAGAATAAAGGTTTTAAAAGGTTCAAATTAATTAACCACCCCTCGTAAGGGGAAATGCTGTTGCATGAACTGAAATGACCAATCAAAATACAAGTATACGAGAATTCAAAAAACTTGACAACGAAGTAAGGTTATAATGACTATTAAATGCTTTAAAGTTAGGTTTATACTAAAATAGAATTTATTCCAACTAATAAGGATTAAATTATACGATAAAATTTGAAATTAAAATTAAAAACTACCCTTTTTAAAATCTAAATTAAATCTCTATTAAGTTTAAAATTATAAAATTACTGAGGAAAAAAGAAAAATACATATGTTGTTCTATTGATTTTGTTTTTATTGAAATTATGTGGGAATAAACGTTAAGATCGACTGCTCTTAACTTCATAACAACATGGATACAAGTGTAGGGAGGGGATGATGACATCTTGCGAAAGAGAATACATACACAATCAGATTATAATACATAAGCACGCAGACATATTTAGATATATACACACACAAAAAAGTGACGAGACAGGAAATATTTAAAACGAACCTTAATCTAACAATTCGACAATTTTGCTGTTACAGCCGTTATATATATATATATATATATATATATATATATAATAGCAAAATTATCGATATATATATATATAGGCGTTATATATAACGAACAAAAAAAAATATATAGGATATTAAAAATGGACGTCATACAATTTACGCAACAAACACATTTTTTATATTTAACGTTCTTTTTATAGGACAAATTTCCGACAATTTGTTTTAATAAACAGTATTTAATATTTAACTGTTCTTTTTCATAGAAAATATTCGTATTTGACAGGATTCGAAATCCTATACGGAATTTATAATAAACAGTCGGCCAAATAACATAGACAAGGTCCGAATTTTTCTTAAAAATATTCAATCTTCCATTTCGATACAAAAATAACTCGCTATGTAGAAATGTAAAGATCCATAAGAAATGATAAAGTCCGACAATGCATGAGACATTTTAAAACGTTAAATATTTTTATTGAAAAATTTTCGTCCTAAACAGCTTAATGGTAAATCTGAATTATTCAATACGAATTGGAATGACGGTCCTTTATTAGGTCTAGGTTCGCACGTTGTAAAGGAACATTTTCTTGAAAGGTTTTTTGTTCTATAAAAAATATTTTTTATTTAAAAACATAAAAAATGATAAACATGTCCCTTTTTTATATATATATATATATATATATATATATATATATATATATATATATATATATATATATGTGTAAATACAAAATTGTCGAATTCTTAGATTAAGGTTTGGACCATTGTATCTTACAGATGATTAAAGATATCTTACTGGAATTCTCCGAGGTTTTCATAACACTATTAGACTTAACTTTAATCAATAAGAATATATAATTACTCTCCAAGCTTAACAGAAGAATCGTGATCAAATAGATCATAAACGAAAATGACAATCATTAATTAATCATAGGTAAGGATCGGGAGCTCATGAAGGATTGAAATGAAATTCAATTGTATATATATTATTCCAGGAGCATTTTCCAACTTATTCAAGATCTTCGCCAACATTCTAACTTTCTGTCTTGGAGTAACAAGGTGCCTCACACGTCTCACTTACTATTGCATTTTCAAGTCTTTTTTCACTTCTCTTTGGACTGTCATTGGTGGAACTTCTCTCTCACTGTCGTATGGATTGAGTTGGATCTTTTCTAATTGATCTCTTTAGATCTAAGTTGAAATGATGGATCCTCTTGCTGTTCTGATCCTCTTCTGATCCTGTTTTGCTCTATAATGTTCCCTCTTTTTTAAACTTATTCACCGTTCTCTTGCTGGTTCTTGAATGGAAATCAGTGTATCAATCTTGGCACAATTACTGAAGGCCTGAATGAGTTATTTCTTCCTACCATTGATCGGTTGAGCATATTCATTATTATAATATATAAGCATATTCATTATTATAATGAATATGCTTATAAAAACGCGTAAATGTAAAAAATTAGTTATTCAAAAAATTTCGCTTGAAGATGGAACAGAGTTTGGTACTTTAATTCAATTTAATTCAAATAATTATATAGAAGTTTTGGAGCTCTTGTTTTGAAACATGAGAACTCTTACACTAAGTGGAAAGAATTATATTTGTAAACAAATAATATATATATATATATATATATATATATATATATATATATATATATATATATGTGCGTTTACTAAAATTCATATGTATAAGTGATTTGAATATTCTTTGCTTTTTTGCAGGATGTACAGACAATAGATATTGATCACATGTTTGAAAAATTAGATTTCACCTATAATAAAGTGAGGTACGCTGGTCTACCCGATTTGGTTGAGACGAAACTTCACAATCAAGGAAAACGATTGGTCCTCATTGTGGTACGTACCCTCTTTTCAAGACTGGATTTTGGCTATTATTTGTATATTGTTGCGATTTAACCAGTTGCATTACACTGCTGAACACAGCAGTGTATAGAGTGGAATGAATAAACACAGTACTCGAAAGAATTTTAACAGTTTTTATTCGTGGTCAACTGTATTTTGCGGAAAAAATATTGTGTTTCTTAGTTAAGAGAGCTCTTCTCTTGAGTAGAGAGATTTCTCCGCTTGGTCACACGAGGAACGAGAAATCGCAATGTCAAGAACTGGTACGGGTCTTCTGCAGCAAGCATTATGAATGGGTTTTCCTTTGTGTAGGTGTCTCGAAGGGATATTTCTCCGCTTGATCCCACGTGGTATGAGAAATATTAGCGTCAAGCTGCCAGGATTGGTACACGTCTTCTCCGGCAATAGTTTTAAGTGCTTTTTCCTTTGTATAGGTGTTTCGAAGGGATATTTCTCCGCTTGTTCAAACGAATAAGGAGATAACTCTGTGTCAAGCTGCCAGGGCTGGTACGGGTTTTCTGCAGCAAAGGAAATCAGTGGGTTTTTTGAACTGGTCTTAATGTAGCGGTCGCTGAAGAGAAAAAGTGGAAAGAGACCGAATAGGGCACAATCAACGTTTCTATGATTTCTAGGACTTCCTGTTGTTCCTCGCTGATTACTTCTGTTGCTGAATTGAGCAAAGTAAGGAAGCCCGTACATGCTATCATAGCCAACAAGTGAGATACAGTAGAATTCCTGACAACGGGACTAAGAAGGCCTTCCGGATATGAGGAATTGGTTACAAAATCCGGATATGAGGGATTATACAGTAGAATCCCTGACAACTGGACTAACAAGGCCTTCCGGATATGAGGAATTGGTTACAAAATCCAGATATTAGGGATTCCGGATATTAGGGATTCCGGATATGAGGGATTCCGGATATGAGGAATTGGTTACAAAATCCGGATATTAGGGATTTCGGATATGAGGGATTCCGGATATGAGGAATTGGTTACAAAGTCCGGATATGAGGGGGTTATATTTAGATTAAGATAAAAGAACTGGAATCAGGTTTAACATTTATTTTCAATGTTTTATATTAAACAAAATAAGGTAATGGTGAGTGAAATATAACGAAATTGTTTTTAAGGAAAAAGAAATAAATTATGTAATGTTAAAGAAAATTCATTAAATTAAGTATGCCACGTATGCAAAACAAATAATGTAACGAGGATTTTTTAATCGCTGTTGCATGATGATTCTTTCTCTTTTAATGTCTTTCTCGACTTTTTCCGCATTTCATTTTGATTTTGTTCTTGAAATTTTTAAACGAAAGACAATTTTGAACTCTGCGTGCGTTATTGCAATCGTCATAGCTGAATGCTGGCTTTCTTTCCATAAAACTGACAACATTTTCAAAAGCTTTTTTCAATTTCAGTCCAGCTTTCATCGCAATGATGTTTTTTATTTCCTTGTTCATTGTGACAGTGTAAACGCCGGAGAATAATTTTTTGGAAGATTATATATCATACATTATTAATTTTCCTATGTTGAACATAGCGATTAATTACAATGAACTTTCACCAGCGTCTAATCTGTTTAAAATTTCCACTTTTTGCGATAACTTCAAAGATGTTCATCCTCTTATTCCCATCATCTTTTGCACCAAATACAAGCCATTAGGGTGAAATAAGCATAAGCAATTATCCAAAGTAAATTTCCTGAAAAACAGAAATTTCAAATCAGTTACATATCACCCAAATAGTTCAAATATACACATCAAAATCATGTCCGGATATGAGGGATTCCGGATATGAGGGATTCCGGATATGATATGGGATTCTGGATATGAGGGATTCTACTGTACTTATTATATTGTTTTGGAATTGCCTTCTTCATTTCTTATTGTCTTATTTTTTTGTAAATTTATGAATTTACTTTAATTCGACATTTTCCTTCTCATAAATCTTTATAAGAAAAAAAAAACGCCCTTCTCGTTAACTTATAGAATAATCTTCTTTTTGACACCCTTTTACGTCTTTCATTTTGTTTTCATCCAAGAAGGAAGTATTTGGCATACTAGAAAGACCCGTAAAAAAATTAGCGGCTTTCGTATTTGAATTTTTTCATGAATCTTCAGTTAATGATTGAGTTATCTTATGGCGAGTTCCATATCTATAGAAATTCTATCTCATCGTTAAATATTTGCGATTACCAACCTTAACAAAATATTGATAAAACAATCATAAACACGAATTCTCGTCGTTATTTTAAGAAGTGGGTACAAATGAAAAGATTTGCAATTGACAATTTTTCCAATTCACTGAAACAGCCGTTAAAATTTCTACGTTGCCTTCTTTCATTTTTTTTTCATTTATTTTCTCTGTTAACAAAGTAGTGTTTCGTATATGTGTTTTTGATCCATCCAATCAAAATGAAATAATTCATTATTTATAGGTATTGGTAGAAGTGGCTAAACACATCTACCTTAATTTCTTTCTTTCCTTTTATTACTAAAGCCAATTAGTGGCTTTTCCTCTCTTTCTAGTGAATCATAACGGAATAGTCCATTATTTATGAGTTACTGAAAGGAAATGTTAAACCGTTTCTTTCTTTCTTTCTTTCTTTCTTTCTTTCTTTCTTTCTATCTTTCTTTCTTTCTTTCTATCTATCTTTCTTTCCTTCCACTGAACCCAAGTAGTGTCCTTTCCTCTCTTTCCAGTTAATCATACTCCATTACTTATGAGTTAATGAAAGGGACGTTGCAAACAACTTTTCGTCTTCCTTTTCCTTCTTTCCTTCCTTCCTTCCTTCCTTCCTTCCTTCCTTCCTTCCTTCCTTCCACTGAACCCAGGAATAAAGGAATAGTCCATTATTTATTAGGTATTGGTAGGTGTTCTTTCTTTCTTTCTTTCTTTCTTTCTTTCATTCTTTCTTTCTTTCTTTCTTTCTTTTTCACACTGAAACTAAGTAGTATCATTTCCTCTGTTTCCACGCGATCAAAACGGAATATTCTATTATTTATGAGGTATTGCCAGGGTGTAACGGCTGTGTAAATTAACAAAGGTGGGTGGCAAACGCAATTATAATAGCATATGATTAAAAAAAAAGTGCCGTATTTATTAATGAGTCAAATATCGCAGATAGAACACCTGTAAATACAGAGACGGAAACAACGTCCTACTACGCTACCTAAATCCATAATAAGACTGAAACGACTCAATAAAATCATATAACTTTAAATTACTTCTTTTATGTACGATTTCCATTCAGGATATGGATGATCATGTCTCGTGACAGCTTTCTATCCTTTGTTGATTTAAGGAATAAGAAATGATAGCTCCTTAGCTATACCTCGCAATATCTATTCTGCCATCCATTTACACAAATCACTTAGCTAGGTGTTTCGCTCCAACGATTTGGTGATGAGAAAAATAGTAAAATATAGTGAAAACGGTTGCTGATTTTTCTTGCTTTCTTATTTTGACAGGACCCAGCAATTGGCGCGGACCAGGAGTCGTTGGCAAGATCCAAAAAAAACAGCCCTGGCTATGAGGCCTTCGAAGATATGATTCGTAATGAAGTCTACGTGAAAACTGCTAACGGTTCCGTATTATTAGGAAAGGTAAGTCAATAGATATCAAATACACTGTTTAAGGAATTATTAACGAGGTGACAATTTTCCATTTTTTTTCCCCAAAACTATACGTTGGAATTTAAAGGAATTTTCACAGAATGCTAGTAAGAGTTATATGCCCCTAACTTGTCAAAAGTGTAAAGTTCCGCAAATGTATACAGAAACTATGGCCATTTACCTAATTTGCTTAAATTATCACTGTTCCAAATTATCGACGAGGTGTAAATAAAACTGATAATGAAAAAAAGGTAGTAACGCTTCAGTTGCTTCATATACATATTGCTATGGATACACACAGTAACCAGCATGAAATAAATAGAAGTCAACAAGTACACAGAGTTAAAAAAATAATAGTGGAACTGGTTAATAAGGGATATGTGACCCTCTTCTTGAAATGACATGGATAAGGCGCTGGTCCGTGGAACATGTCAATTTCTGGATCTCCTCTGATGTAATTCCACGTGATACATTCAATATTGCCTGTCACAAATCTTCCTTGCTTCTAAATTGGATTCCATTCTCGTAAAACTGTCACTTCAGAATACCCTACAAATAGCTATTCAAATAAGGTAACTTTTTATTTTTATTCTATATATATATATATATATATATATATATATATATATATATATATATATATATATATATACGATAAAAGGAAAATTATGTAACTGTAGAAACCCAGAAGACTGCCCATTAGAAAATAAATGTTGTATTAATTCTGTGGTATACCAATATACTATTTCATCCAGAGAGCCCTAGCACTAATATGATATACATTGGGTCCACGAAGAATAATTTTAACGATAGATGGAGGCAGCATAAGTGTTCTTTTTAATAATATAAACAAACGAAATCAGACTTCACTATCAAAATATTTTTGGCACCTGAAGGAAAAAAACAAATAGGACACCAAAAGTTAAATGGAAAATCATTGACAAGGTTAGAACATGTAAAGCTTGGGATGACCCATGCCCTTTGTGCCTCCATGAAAATTGCACATTATTAAACTTCTAAATAATAATAATCTATTAAATAATAGAGACGAGTTAACGGTTTTTGTAGGCATCATCAGATTTTTTGGTTTTGAATTATTAGATAAAAAAATTTATATAACTTGTTTAACAAATAGCCCAATCATCAGATTCTTAGTAGGAATAATTAACTACAAACATGCATGCAACATAACACACTTCATAATCCATAGCCTGAATTAGTAGTTTAAATACCTTACATATAAGATAACCCTTTATGAAGTCGTCAAAAAACAAACGTTACGAAAGTTTTTTTTTTTATATGCACAATTCCTTTCATAATAAAATAAAATAAAATAAATAAATAAATCTCCATAGACAAACAAACTAGACGATGGCCAATACATCTTCCGTTTCATTTTGACACCCCCACCTTTCCCCGACTTGACACCTTGAAAGTATCTCTATACCGCTACTTATTAT